GGCTTCTTGCAAGCGCCAGCGTTTCTGCAGTCGGGGCTGGCCTCGTGCCCTCTGGGCTTCTCGTAGGCTCACGCGCATTCTGCGCTGGCCTTTGCCCGAGACTTGCAGGCTTCTCGCGGGCTCGACCGGCCGTGCTGAACGAAAACGCCGCGCCAGCTGGCTGGCTGTGACTTGGGGCCTGGGCGACTTCTCCACAAGCGCAACTCTTTTTTGCTGCGGCGGGGGAGATTATCATGTGCTAGCCTCGGGCCATTTGGGCATATCGCGGGCGCGCGCGCGGTTGTCGGCCTATGCCCGGGGCCTTCCGCTTCTCACGGGCTCAACCTGGCGCGTTGATTACAATTTCCCGCTGGCACGTTGGCCCAGGGCCGTTCCGGCTTCTCGCGGGCGCCAGCTGGCATGTGGCCTTTTTGTGCCAGCCTGGCCGCTGCGATTGCCGCCCTTCGTGCGGGCGGGCGGGGAAACCAAGAAGATTTCAAAAGGCAATCGCTGCGGGGCGGCAGCACCCGCGCGGGCGGCGACGGGCCGGCGCGCCCCTCCTTCGCGCCGCCCCGCTGTTCTGCGAGTGCGCGCGCGGTCCTGCCATCAGCCAGGCATGCCCCGCCCCACCCTGCCCAGAGCCGGGGCAGACTAGACCGACGAGGATGGGGCAGCGGAGCCCCCGCAGGGAGCCGCTAGTGGACGAGCGCCCCTTCTCGGGGGGGGGGAGGGGAGAGAAGACCAAGCGAAAGCTCGCGGCCAAACAAGGGGAGGTGCCGCTTCGAGCCGGGGAACAGCGCTCCCCCCGGGGGAGGGGCGACCGGCCCGCCGCCGCTGGGAGACGAAAGCCACAGTTCCAAAAAAACATCCTGAATCCGTGAAGCTGCTGCGAAGTTTTGAAGGCGAAATCGCGCGGCACCCGGGCGAGAACCACATTTTGAAAACGGCCCGCCCTCCGTGCGTAAAGCTGCTTCAAGCTTTTGTTGCGAATGCGCGCGGCGCTCAGGCGAGGGGGGGAAGGGGGACGCTATTCCCGACGCATTTAATGTTCGGCGGCGGGGGGGGGCCCACAGGCCCCCAAGAAGCCCCCAGGAGGCCCCAGAAGGCCCCCAAGAGGCCCGAAAGAGGCCCCAAGAGGCCCCAAAACGACCCACAAGAGGCTTACCCTGCTCCCTTGCTCAATCCCCTGAGCCTCGGTCCTCAAGCCTGAGGATAATGGGCCCGGACCCCAAGCTTTCAAATTTCTTGATACTCCCCGCGCGCCGGGGCCCCCAGCGTTTCTGCATGACTTATTCGAGTCCAAGAGAGGCCCAAGGCGGGCCAACAGGGCCCCAAGAGACCCTCAAGACGGCCCAAGAAAGCTCCGAATCACCGAACGATCGGTCCAAGACGCCCAAGATGGCCCCATGGTCATTACCTTGATAAACATCATCAGCATCATCAACATCGTCAGCATCATCAACATCATCATCAGCATCATGATCATAATCATCCTCATCCTCATCCTCATCCTCATCCTCATCCTCATCATCATCATCATCATCATCATCATCATCATCATCATCATCATCATCATCATCATCATCATCATCATCATCATCATCATCATCATCATCGTCATCGTCATCGTCATCGTCATCATCATCGCCATCATCATCATCATCATCATCATCATCATCATCAGCATCAGCATCATCATCATCATCATCATCTCATCATCATCCTCATCATCTCATCCTCATCCTCATCCTCATCATCATCATCATCATCATCATCATCATCATCATCATCATCATCATCATCATCATCATCATCATCATCATCATCATCATCATCATCATCATCATCATCATCGTCATCGTCATCGTCATCGTCATCGTCATCATCGTCATCATCGCCATCATCATCCTCCCGAGCGCCCCAGATCGGCGGCACTGGCTGGAGGCCAGCACAACAACGGACGGTGCCACGCTGGGCGCCTGCACTCGCCAACTGAAGATGCACACTGCGCAGCAGCGCCCGGCCAGGCGCGGAGCCGCTCCGCGGCGGCTGGGGAGTGCGAGCCCGGGCCGATCCGACAGAGCGGAGCCGGCCAGCAGCAGCTGCAGTACCGCCGGCACGCCCTGCACGTGCAGAAAGGGGTACACTGACCACTAATCGTGGGCAGGAGGGGGGGAGCGGGCAGGAGGAGGAGGCCGGGGAAGAGGGCAGGGAGCGGAGGAGATCGCCCTCGCCGGGCGTCGCACGAAAGAGCTTGCCGTCAAGCCGACCTGGTCAGAGTGGCACTGGGAGAAGAGGAAAAAAGGGCGGTAGGGCAAGACTGCCCAGCTTCACGACGCGCACGGGGGCAAGAGGAGGGGAAGGGAGGAGGAGGAGGAGGAGGAGGAGGAGGAGGAGGAGGAGGACAGGAGGGGGAGGGGGAGGGACGCGCGCGCCGAAAGTCGAGGCTGGGCCGCACGGCCTCCAGGCAGCCTGGACATGTTGACACAGAACCTCGACATGCCACCGCACTCCACGCCGACTATCACCCTTCCGCGGTCCAGATCCGGGACTCCGAGTGGCCGAATTCGGGGGGAAGCGAGGACGAGACAGGCAGAGAAGGCAGAAAGCACGCCTACCCTTCTAACCAAAAAGGGGTAGCCGGCGTTCCGCTGCCAGGAGGCAAGGACGGGAGGAAAGAGACGAGAGGGGGGAGGATTGCGGCACGATCTCGAGGCAATCGGCGGCTTGTTGTCGGACCACGACGCGGAAGGAGATCGAGGCGCAGTGGCCCTGCGCGCGCGCTGGTTCTACTTTGTTGCGCGCCGGGGGTGGGGGAAGGAGGGCGTTCGGGCAGCGCTCGCTCCCCACACCGTACCGACGAGAACGGAGGGGAAAGAAGAAAGACACGAGGGCAAAACTACCAGGCAATAGTTGTCACAGTCGGCCCTCGCCGCACCAGAATGAAACCCAGGTGCCACCACACGCGCGCTCCTGCGAGAAACTAGAAGCACGAATCGACAGCTGGGCGCATCGTGGCCTGGAATCCATCAGCCACGCGGCCAGGACACAAGGGGGCACGATAGCCTGCACCACATCGTGCTGGAGTGAGTGGCGGCAGAGACGAGACGGAGACATCCTCCTCCTCCTCCTTCTCCTCGTCCTCCTCCGCGCTCCTTCCTCCTCCCGCCTACTCGCTCCCCCGTGCTCCTCCTCTTCCTCTTCCATTGTTTCCCCTTTTTTTCATATTTTTATTAACAAGTATATGTACTATATGTTTTAACTTTATAACATAATCTTTTCATTATAATAACAAAAAGCGCGCCCCTGTCACACCCCGAGGCGTGTCTGTAGGGCGGGCCCGGCGTTTCGCCTGAGAGGTCCTCACCATGTGTGATCCTCAAGCTGAGAATTTGCAAGAGCTTCACGGATGGAGGCTGGGTGCTCTTCAGAATGATGCTCTGGCCTTAGCGCCGCGCGCAGTCGTCTTGAAAAGTTGCATCAACGTCACGAATGGAGGCCGGGCCGTTTCAGAAGTGTTGCTCTCGCCGTAGCGCCGCACGCATTTATCGCATGAGCTTCACGGATGGAGGGCGAGTGCTTTGCAAAATGTGGCTCTCGCCTTGGCGCCGCGCACAACCGGCTCGAAACGTACAACAGCTTCACAGACGGATGGGCGACTGCTGCCCAACATGTGGCCCTCGACTTGGCGCCGTTGACAGCAGTTCCCAGGATTCTCATGGCCCAAGTCCCAGATATTGTGTTCCGGCACAATGTTGGACAGTCAGGGCGCAAGAGTTACTCCAGATTTCGTAATAGAAGGGAGGGGGTCTGGACCCTCCAAGACAAGCCATTTCAGACCTCCCCCGTGGGAGAACCCTCCAAAACATCGTCCCCAGATCCCCCAGGCTCTCCAAGATAGCCTGGAAGAGACCCCCCCCCGAAATGAGACCCCCCTCCCTTTATTACGAAATCTGGAGTACATTGATTCGCTGCGTTGAAGTCCAGGAATGATGTTCTAGTGCGATTCGGGATTCTCAAGACGCAACAGTAATGACGACTCGCGGGACTTAAGTCCAAGGAGTGGCATTCTGGCACATTTCAGGATTCTCAAACGGTTGTCTTCCAACGGGGCATTTCCACTAGTGAAACTGAATCCTTGTAGGAGCCTGTGAAGAGGGAACTTGGAGCACGTGTTTGTTGTAATAACGTTGATGAGTCTTGAATTTCCACTGGTCCTGGTCTCATCCTCCTCCTCCTCCCTCCTCCCCCTCCCCCCCCTCCTCCCCCTCCTCCCCCTCTTCTTGCGAGCTCCTCGCTCGCTCGCTACTTGCCCCTCGCTCGTCACAACTCGCGCGCATCCCGCTCCTCCGCGCCCAGCGCAGTTCGCTCCTCCCCCCCCTGAGGGGCAAGAATGGGGGGGGACTGACATAGTGGGGAAACGTCGACCTGGAATCAGCGATACATCGCTGACAGATGACATCCTGGGCAGGTTGGGACCGTCGGGGCCCTATCTGCGATGAACGGGCGATTGAAGGGGGTCGATGCAGTCCCCCCCATGCCTCGCCCCTGGTGGCTTTCGGGTCACACCTCGGGCCTCTGGCGGCCGTTCGGGACGAGTCGGGTACCCCAGAACGCTCTCGGCGAGGCGTAGCCGCTGGAAGGCAGCCCGAGGCTGCAGAGCCGCCAGAAGCCGACGAGCACAAACGAACACCTCGACCGTCGAAGCTTCGCCAGTGCCCCCCCCCCCCCCCCATGAGCCCCCCTGTCGTTGCCCCCGACCCCCCCCCCCTCCCCCGCCGACGCCTCCTCGCGTCCCCCCGCCTCGGCGGCGGCGGCGACAACGCGAGGCGCTCGGCGGGGAGAGGCGGCGAGCGGGCAGTGGGGCCTGTCCCTCTACAGAGGAGATGTTCAAAAAGAGTTTTAAAAAAATAGTCTGGGGGGACTATGGGGGGATTATTTTTTACTTTTCCATTCAAAATCTCCCTGTAGGGGGACAGGCCCGACCTGAGGCGAGCGGGGAGAGCGGAGCGGGGGGCGGCCTGACCGAGAAGGAGACCAGGGCGGACGCCGCGTCCTGCCCCGCGGGGTCCGGGCGCGGGGGCCCGGCGGGCCGCGGGAGCCCCTCGAAGAAGAGAGAACGCCATAGCGCAGAAACTTGTGCAGACTTATGTTGCTCCCATCGTACTTGAAGGCCCGCATCCCAGAAATGAGTTCGCGCACCCCCAAAAAAAGTGCCGAAAGGGTGTCGGAAGAGCGTCGAAACAGTGTCGAAAGAGTGTCGAAAGAGTGTCTCCCAGGGCTCGACACGTGAAAACCATTGATTTTTGAAATGTTCTCTTGGTGCTCGAAATTCATTATGGTGATCAAGGCTAAAGTAGGTTGGAACATCATAAGTGTAGACGAGCGCGTTCCACTACTCGCAGAGTAGCTGCTCGCAAGTGGCCTGGATCCGCCGCGGGGCATCTACGATGCATTCTCCATCGAGGCAGACATGTGTTTTATGATGTTTGCGAGCAAGCACTCTGCGAGCAGTGACACGCGCTCCGTGACTGTCGCGCTCCGAGCGGGGCGCCAAGATGTCATACTCATGGCGTTTGTTCCTCTTCGACCGCGTCCCCTGCGCCCGCCGTCGGCGACGCCAGCGCAGAGTGACTTTCAGTCGGGCATGCCCCTCTGCAGGAAGAAGATCCACAAGTAGTCAACAAATAGTCTGGGGACGATGTTTGGACTGGTTGTGAACATTCTGGAACCTTTGCTTGACAAGTTTTCATTGGTCGTCCGAAATCCGCCTGTAGAAAGACATGCCCGACCTAACCCTCGGGCCCCCTCACGTCCCCTGCCCTCCGCCTCGCACCGCTCTTGGGCAGCCTCGAGCGTAGCCCTACCCCTACTCTGGCTGGGGTATTGATCGAGGGGTGGGCGACTGGGCTTCCGAATGAGCTTGCCCACCCCCTCCCCCTCCTCCTCCTCCTCCTCCTCCTCCTCCTCCTCCTCCTCCTCCTCCTCCTCCTTCTCACCCTCCTCCCCATGCCGTCGGCGACGCCAGCGCAGAGTGGCATCCTCCTCTCCACGGCTGCGCTGCGCCGTGGCCCCCGGGGCACCCGCGCACCCGCCCGCCCGCCCCGGCGTCGCACGCAAAGGCGGCCGCCGGGAGCGACCGTCGCAGGTGCGTTGTCTCCCCGTGATCTGGGCTTTGGTCGGGCATGTCCTCCTCCTGCAGGCGCATTTTCAAAACGAAAACAATAGTCAAAACAGAAAGGCATTCCCAAAGTTGCAGACAGAATGCAAAAATCGTCCCCATATCATGTTTCGACTATGTTTGAATAATCTTGCTGTAGAGGGGCATACCCGACTTAGGTCTGGGTCAGGGGCCGTGGCTCGAAGGCGAGGCGGAGGTTCGGGCGGAGCGTCGTCCTCTGGTCCCCTCCTCACACGTGCTCCGTCGACCCCCGCTTGCCAGGGGGTGCGGCAAGGCGTGGGAGACAGCCGGCTGCCCCCTTCGCCCTTTCCCCCCTCCCCTGGGGTCCAAAATGCCGTTTGAAGCGGGGGGGCAGGACCCATGAGCTTGCCGACGCCTTCCGTGGGGCTCCTGGAGCCGGACCGCCCAAGAGGGCCCAAACACAGCGCCAAATTGGTCCAATAGAGCGTCAAGCCGGCCCAGGGTAGCCCCACAACGGTCCCAAGATAGCTTGAAGGCAGCCCACGATGCCCCGTCAAGGGCCCACGAATTCTCCGAGAGGGCTGCCGAAGGGCCCCCAAGAGGAACAAATCGTTCCACCCCCTGAGGAAACCGTACAGCTTTAGCATACTCGCCATTCTTGTCTTGACAAAGTTCGGGACGGTCCAGGGGGCCCCAAAGATCGTCCCAAGACGGCCGATGAGGTCCCCACAAGGGTCCCAAGACTAGCCCCAAAAGCCCCAAGATGGCCCTAGGGGCTCCCAGGGCGGCCCAAAAGAGTGCCAACAGGTCCAAGAAGGGGCCCAACAAGAAGCCCCGAAAAGCCCCCCAGATGCCCTCAAGAGCCGTCCACAAGGCTCCGCCTGGAGGGTCGGCGGAACAGTGCAAGCCACTCGAATGAGCCGTACAGTCGAAATCTATGGCAAGGACGGGCGGTAAGGGCCTTAGACGCAGATGTTGACACTTGTTGGGCGGCGGACTGCCAGCTCTCTTAAGGACTGGCCAGTGAAAGCCGCGAAGGACGAGCCGCAGAGGCCAGGACGCAAGGGTCCCCTGAGGACAGCAACGCATCCTTAGTATGAGTTTTGACTGTAGTGCTCAAATTCGCGACTGCCCGAGACAATATTCTGCGAATCACCAACGACTCACTGCGATCCCTGCCTGACGATGGGCGCAGGTTCTTTATGGGTATGATAAGACGTTGCTCAGATCAACACGTGTGCAGGCTGCCCGTGAGAAGCCGTTGACCTCCCTCCTTCTCCTCCTTCTCCTCCGTCTCCTCCTCCTCCTCCTCCTGCTCCTCCTCCTCCTCCTCTTTCTCCGTCCTCGTCCTTCCTGCGTCCTCCTTCCTCCTCCGCCACCCCTCCTCCTCCCTGCTCCCCCTTCGTCCTTCTCCTTCCCATCCCTCCCTCGTTCCATCCTCCCTGTCCCTCCCTTCCTCCCTCCCTCACCCCTCATTCCATATTCATGTTTCGTCCTTCTGCGTCCCCTTCCCCACCTCACATTTTGCTACGTCGGACTGCTGCGTTGCACCAGGACTGCATGCGCTGCCGATTGCTAGTCCCTATTCATCCTGCTCCTGCTGCTGCTGCTCCTCCTCCTCCTCCTCGTCCCCATGATATGTTTTCCTGACGCCCACCCTGAATACAATGGAAGTTGAAATTATTTTCTCGGACCTCCTGGGCAAAAGACAACCATCCAGGTCAAAGCGGGAGGGCGCAAGAGCAGCCCTGCGTTTTGGTGAACAAGGCCCTACGCCTCCGGTCGAACGAGAAAGCTGCTCGCCGCGCAGCCGCCGGCCCCAGCGCGGAAATCGAAGTGCAAGGCCGCCCCTGCCCGCCGCGACGCGCGAATCCCACACCCCCTCCCTCGCGCTCAAGCGCTGCCCCCTCGGGAGAGGAATCCGCTCGGCGCCGCCTCCCGCGCGAGGACCGCACTCCGAGACCCCCGCCGACGTGGCGCGCGCACCCTCCCCCACGCCGCCCACGCCGCACCTCCCCGGAGTGCTGCCAGAGCCCTGGGGGGGGGCGTGCCTCGTGGCTGGCCTCAGGGGCGCCCACGGCCGCAGTCGCGAGGACGCCGAACCCCTGCTGGCCTCGAGCCTGGATCTCCACCTGCCCCCCGAGGTGGCGGCGTGGAGCGCGGGTGGGGCCGCAGCCGGATGCCGGCCCCGCTCCACAGCGGAAGTGCTGAGACGAGTGCTGCTCGCACGCCTGCGGCTCGCTGCGCCCCCCTCGCCATCGCTCGGACGTCCATTCCCTGTGTCTTTTTGTCGGTTTCGTGCGTGGCTTTTTCGCCACATGATCGAGGATGCTCCTCGATGGTCCTCGCCGAAGGAAAAAAAGCGCACGTCCGAGCGATGGCAAGCCGCCCACACTTCCACCAGGACGCACCGCCGCCATCTCTGGGGGGCTGCCTCCGGCTGGCTCCGAGCAGAAAGGTGTGCACTGATCCGTGGCGAGCCCTCGCGCAGCGAGCTTGGCCTGTCCAGCACCCTGGGGCCAGCTGGAAGGGCTCCCGGGGGCCCAGCGGAGCTGGATAATCCGGGGTGACGATTAATAAACAAATGGGAGAGAACGATTAAAAACATAGTTTTCTGCTATTTCTGTACAATTTTCTGACTGGAGGAGAGCGATTTAAAAATAGTTTTCCAGCCCGCGGCCGGTTGTTTCTAATCGTCATTCCGGGCGCCGCCGCGTGAACACGACCCCCGGTCATTTATGAATCGTCATCCTCCATTAAGTATGGCCCTGAGGGCGCCCATGTGGCCTTCACCCTTACACCATAGGGACTTAGCACTAGCCATTGCCCCACGGCGGCGTCTCGAAGCTTTCAATAAGCACGGCGTGGTCCATCCATCCTACGTACGCCGCAACTTCTAACCAGGCCTTGTCAGAGTCAAGACTACCAAACACAAGAAGTGGATTCTTTCATCTCGTGAATCCGGATGGCGCAGCCACGCCACTCATGCAGTCGATATGACTCCCCATAGCTAGCCAAGTAGCGTGGGCAGCTCCCTCCCCTAGTCCACATGCGAACCAGCCTCTTGGCCTTACGGCTAGCCTTCAAGTGGTCCTTGATACGAAAGGCTCGAGCAAGTACGTGTTTGATTATACCCTAGGCTGGCGAACCATCAAGGTACAGCGCCTGCTGCTAAGGAATTTGTCAAGGCACGTGGTGCCATATTTCAAAGGACTCACACAAGACTTATGACCATCAGCTGAAATATACTGTACACGCTTAGGCTCAATCGCGAGGAACAATGTCTTGCCTCAGGACCGCAGCACTTGCTGTTGCATTCCTCGACAGAGTTAGCTCACAGCCCATGCAAGTTGGGTCACCAGTTTTTGCCTACCCCATGTGATGCAATGCTATGCCATGTGCCAACGCCTTGATTTCTACTGGAAGGAAGCTTCGATGTGGCTCCTGCATCTGGTGCCGTTCACATGTGGCGGTTCCTCCTCCTCATCCTCCTCCTCCTCCTCCTCCTCCTCACCCTCGCCCCCCGTCAAGCATTCTACCCATGGACGTCTCAGAAGGTGCTTTCTGTATAGGACTTCGACGGGGAATCCAGCCGTGGCGACAAAGCTTCCTAGATGCCCAAAACGGCTGGAGAACGCCACCGCACTTCGATCCTCAAACATCGATCCTCGATCCTCCTCCTCCTTCTCCTCCTTCTCCGCCTCCTCCTCCTCCTCCTCCTCCTCGTCCTCCTCCTACTCCTCCTTTTCCTCTTCCACCCTCTCCCGACCCGAATTCGCTCAAAAGAAAAAACCTCTGACCCCTCCCGAGATCCATCCTGGCAGCTTGCCCACATGAAGTCGATGTTTCACGCCCCGATGGGGCCGAAACGAGCCTCAAGAGGCCGAAACCAAGAGACACAACAACTGCAGCGCGACTTGGTCGACATCCTCCTTACTCGAAGGAGGCAATGGAGGCCTCCAAAAGGGTGCTCGAATAAATGGGGTAGCAGGGATGCGCCGCATCGCTCATATATCGCCGATGCGTGGGCGGTGCAGTGGCGACGTCGGCGCTGCACCTGCGCCGTCGGCGAGGAGAAAGTCGGGCTCCGCGTCGAGCCGCATCGCCGATGCATGGGCGAGGCGGCGCGATCCTCCGACCCCGTCTACTCGGGCCTCCTCTGGGAGGCGTGAAGGTACAAAGGGGCCCAGGGACACAAATGAAAACACACAAATAAAAAAGGATTCCCCATATGTTTTTCCATATGTTCTGGATTTGTGTCTTCCCCCCCCCCCTTCCCATATGTTCCCATATGTTCTGGGGATCGACGATGAATTGTGTCGACCTGTGCGTTCTGGATGTTTCTCTGGATGTTCTGGACTTTAGTCTTCCCCCCACACACACTTCCCATGTGTTCCCCTATCTGTTCTGGGGATCGACGATTTCTTGTGCCTGTGTGTGCTCTCTCCCCTCCTGGAGCCAGGGCGGCTAACATCCTCGCACCAGCCGGCGGCGCCGGGGCGCCCGGCGCGGCAGCGGGCCACGACGCCGATGCTGGCGAGCAGGGCGCAGAGGCGGGCCGGGTCCTGCGGGTGCCCTGCCCTTCGGCCTCGAGGCCTCGCGGCGCCTCGCCGCGCGGACGTCCATGCCCTGTGTTTTCAGGGGGAGGGGGAGGAGGAGGAGGAGGAGGAGGAGGAGGAGGAGGAGGAGGAGGAGGAGGAGGAGGAGGAGGAGGGGGGGAGGAGGAGGAGGAGGAGGACGAGGAGGAGGAGGAGGAGGAGGAGGAGGAGGAGGAGCAAGAGGAGGAGGAGGATTCAGTTTCGTGCGTGGTTTTTTCGCCAAATGATCCAGGATGCTCCTCGAGGGTCCTCGCCGAGGAAAAATACACACGTCCGAGCGATGCCAGGTCCTCGTGGTCCAGTCGCTCCTCCTCCTCCCTCTCCTAGTCCTCCTCCTACGAAGCCTCCGCCCTTCCTCGTTCGCTCGAGGCTCTCAAGATCCCCCCGAGGGGGATTGGACCCCCAGGGTGAACGAGGAGAACGCACAGGCTGCAGCTGGCACGTAGCGAGAGGCCGCGCGCCAAATATGCGCACCCGCCTCGGCTAATCACCCGCCACTGCCAAGCACGAGTTTCCTGCCTCAGCCAAGTAGAAAAATCTGCCCCAGCCAAAAGAAAAGGCATCCGCCACGGCCAAGCACTCGCTTCCGCCAAGTGTAGAGCATGGCGCGGGCCTTCCATCCACGGGAAGGGGGAGGCGAGGAAACGGGCCAGGGGGAACAAGGGGCCAATCCTCTGCCTGGGGAGCGCCCTGGGACCACGCCTCTGACTAGTTTGTTTCTATCAGTGGAGCGCCTGGGGCGCAGACGAGGAGGCTCTATGAGCCTGAGCACGTTCTGTGTATCAGACCATCCACAGAGACTGCAGTAAGCAAGTGGGATTCCATTGGCTTCGATTCCCGCAGCATGTCGAGAGCGCCGTGCCCCCCCCCCCCGAGCGGACTAGCTCAACGAGGCTGGGGGCCAGGGCCTGGCAAGAAAATGCGCTCTTGTCCGACCGCGCGCCGACAAACCAACCCGCCCCAGATGGGTCGGCGAGGGTTTCCCTCGGACCATGGGCGGCGGAGCCTCTTACTCTTGCACAACTACTGTCCAACAACTTCCTTGGGTTTCGACCACTCCGAGAGATCCGGGAGGCCAGCTTGACCAGATGCGAGAGTGTCCCGCCGCGAGGCTTCCAGGGACGCGCAGACGAAAGCCCAATGACAAAAACTGCCACACCCAGCCGAGCTCAGCTGAGCGACCATCAAAAGCGGGACTTAATTACGCGAGATGGCACACCGACCTTACGCCGAGGCTTGCGCCGGCCGCCACAATGGAGACGAGGGCGCTGACGCGCGAGCTTAGGCGGGCAGCTCACGTACGCGCCAACGTCGGCGACGATGACCCCGTTTTCTTGCGTCGCCCAGCTGGCAGTCTACTGGGAGCAGCTGCTCCTGCTGGTGGAAGCGCCACTGGCACCAGTGCGACCCCGCAGTGAGACCTCGTGGCACATTCTGGTGGTGCGAATCGAAGAACACGGGGCCGGGCTTCACCCACATCAGCTCGAGCGCATGCTTCCCCGAAGACAGACACGTCCCGGCACCCCTCCGGCGCCAGAGCGCCTATCCGACGACGAGAGAGCACGAGCTCTGCACGATGAGAGAGCGTCTATCCGACGCCATGCGGGCTGCCTGGGCCGCTTGGGTAGCAAGACAGGCTGGTGAATAGAACATCAAATCCCACTCCCGACACCCGCCGGGAAGAGGAGGGGAAGCAGAAGGAGGGGGAGGAGGCAGGATGAGGAGGAGGACTGAGGAGGAAGTAGGAAGAGGCATCGCACCCAGATGAAAGAACGCGCCGAGGTCAGTTCAAGGATGGACGAAAGCAACGGAAAAAACGTTTTGATCCTATTTATGATCCTCCTCCCCCACCTCCTTGCCACGTTTTGCCCTGGTCCAGGGGACGTCCGATACAAAATTCTGGCACTCTTTCGACGTCCAGAGTCAATCTCTGGGGCGGAAGACAAACTTACAACGTCGTCGTCGTCCTCCTCGTCCTCCTTCTCCTCATCCTTCTCCCCCTCCTACTGCTCCTCCTCCTCCTCCTCCTCCTCCTCCTCCTCCTCCTCCTCCTCCTGCTCCGCCTCCTCCTTTTTGACGCCAACTCCTGCTCCTCCTCCTTGACCTCCTCCTCATATTCCTCCTCCTCCTCCTCATCATCATCAGCAGCAGCATCATTACCATTATCATCATCAGCATCATCAGCATCATCAGCATCATCAGCATCAGCATCATCATCATTAGCATCATCATCATCATCATCATCAGCATCATCCTCCTCCTCCTCCTCCTCCTCCTCCTCCTCATCATCATCATCATCATCATCATCATCATCATCATCATCATCATCATCATCGTCATCGTAATCATCATCAGCATCAGCAGCATCAACATCAGCATCATCATCATCATCATCAACATCATCAGCAGCATCATCATCATCAGCATCATCAATCATCATCATCATCATCATCATCATCATCATCATCATCATCATCATCATCATCATCATCATCATCATCATCATCATCATCATCATCATCATCATCATCATCATCATCATCATCATCATCATCACCATAATCCTCAGCAGCACCATCATCATATCATGATCCTCATCTTCACAATTGTCCTACTCTTCCAACTCCTCCTCCTCCTCCTCCTCCTCCTCCTGCAGCTGCTCCCCCTGCCCATCCTGCTCCTCCTCCCCCCTCCCCTCTGCTCCTCCCGCTCCCTTCTTGCTCTAAAACACCCATCCCTCCTCCTCCTCCTCCGCCTCCTTCTCCTGCAGCTCCTCCTCCTCCTCCTGCTCCTCCTCCTGATTCTCCTCTTTGGCGCCTCCTCCTTTTCCTGATTGTTCCTCTCCTCCTCCTCCTCCTGCTTCCGCTCCTGGTCCTGTTCCTGCTCCTTGACGCATCCTCCTTTTCGCTGACGCCTTGACATGTTGACGCCTTGACGCTGGGCGAGTCCGACGCAATCGGCCAGCGCCCCCGGCGGACCTGCTACGCAGAGCCACTGGTTAGCCCTCGAAGGAGGTGCACAAGAAAGGAGGAGCGCCAGAGGGGAAGAACACGTCTCCTCCTCCTCCTCCTCCTGCTGCTCGTGCTGCTCCGCCTTTTCCTCCTCCTCCTCCTCCTCCTCCTCCAGACCCGTCCTCCTCCCTCATCCATCCTCCAACGTTCCTCCTCCCTTCTCCGGCATCCGGCACCCATCCACAATTACGCAATATGAATACTACTCTCCTCTCTCCCCTGATGACGTCCGGAAGATGTCCAGTCACCCTCCGCGTATTGTTTGTTACACACCGGATTCCTGGGAATTGGGTTTTCCCTTGGGTGGTTTGTTCAAGATGCTGCTCCCGCTGAAGCGCTGGCCTCGTTTTCGGGCTTCCGCTCGTTCCGCATCGTGCTCCCGCTGAAGCGCTGGCCCTCCTCTCGTTCCAGATCGTGCTCCCGCTGAAGCGCTGGCCTCATTTCCGCGCCTCCACGCGTTCCGAACCGTGCTCCCGAATATTTCATGCCACGGCATGGTTTTCGTTCTTTCCAAATAGGCCCCCAAATCTAGGAAATGCCCCCCCGAAAAAACAATCGGAAGAGATTCCACATTCGGTGTCGATTCATTGATTTTTGGGCCGCAGAGGCCCCCCCACTTTGGGGCGTCGCCACGCCATGCTATGTCATGCTACGCGTTGATCTTCAACACCATGCCATGCCATGTAGTGCTATGCCATGCTGCGACATCCGATTGTGCGCATAGAGAGGAGATCTAGGCCATGGTACGGGATGGGAGGGGGGGTAGGACGTCAGATATGACGCGAGCGCACCTAGCTATTCCCCTCCCCCCCCCCGTCCATCCTCCAGCGGCGGCGGGGACGCGCTCGGGGGGGGATCCCCTCCGCCTCCCCCCCCCCCCCTCCTCCAGCGGCGGCGGGGACGCGCCAGTGGGGGGATCCCCTCGCCTTCCCCCCCCCCATCCAGCGGCGGCGGGGACGCGCCGGGGGGGGGCGTCCCGCGGGCTCGCGGCCCCGGCAGCGAAGCGGGCGGCCCCGAGCGTGAGGTGCGGCGAGTCGAATGCTGGCCGGGGCCGGAACGAGGTGACCTCGGCGGCGGCCCCGACGGGGCCTCGACGGCGGCGGCGGCTTGACACCCTCGCGCTGTGAGGAACTCACCAACGAAATGATGCGTTTCGCGATTATCACCCTCTGGGGGCCGTCACCGGGACCTCAGACCGTCAACAAACTCGCCCACCTCTCAGCAGCAGCAGCAGCAGCAGCAGCAGCAGCAGCATCATCATCAGCATCATCATCATCATCATCATCATCATCATCATCATCATCACCACCACCACCACCACCACCACCCACCACCACCACCACCACATCATCATCATCATCATCATCATCATCATCATCATCATCATCATCATCATCATCATCATCATCGTCGTCGTCATCATCTCATCATCATCATCATCATCACGTCATCGTCATCATCATCATCAGCAGCAGCAGCATCATCATCATCAGCATCATCATCATCATCAGCAGCATCATCATCATCAGCATCATCATCATCATCGTCCTCATCATCAGCAGCAGCATGAGCATCAGCATCATCATCAGCATCAGCGTCAGAAGCAGCATCATCATCGTCAGCATCATCATCGTCATCATCATCACCACCATCATCATCAGAATCATCATCATCATCAGCATCATCATCATTGTCATCATCACCAGCATCATCATCATCATCATCGTCAACAGTATCTTCAGCATCATCATCATCATCACCATCATCATCGCCATCATCATCATAATCATCATCAGCATCAGGATCATCATCGGCATCATCATCAGCATCACAATCATCATTATCGTCATCACCATCATCGGAAGCATCAGCATCAGCATCAGCATCATCAGTATCACATGCATCATATGCATCAGCATCAGCACAGGCCTCATCATCATCAGCATCATCATCGTCATCGTCATAAGCATCATCAGCATCGACGGCGTCAACAGCACCAGCAACAGCATCATCATCATCGTCGTCATCCTCATCCTCATCATCACTCACAACATCATCATCATCATCATCATCATCATCATCATCATCATCATCATCATCATGATCATCGTCATTTCCATCAGCATCAGCATCAGCATCCGCATCATCATCGTCATCATCAGCATCATCATCATCGTCATCACCGTTTTAATGATCGCTAGACTGCTCGTCGTCATCATCATCAGCATCAGCATCAGCATCAGCATCAGCATCATTCGCATCGTCACCACCATCATCCTCACTACCATCACCAGCATCATCATCAGCAGCACCATCATGTGCAGCATCATCATCAAGGTCATCATCATCTCACTCATCAAGATCATCATCATCAACAACGTCATCATCATCATCATCATCATCATCAGCATCAGCATCAGCATCAGCATCAGCATCAGCATCATCATCATCATCATCATCATCATCATCATCATCATCATATCATCATCCACATCCTCATCCTCATCCTCATCCCCCTCATCCCTCCCCCTCTTCCTCCTCCTCCTCCTCCTCCTCCTCCTCCTTCTCATCCCTCTCCCTTCATCCCACTCTTCCTTCTGCTGTCTCCCTCCTGCCCTCATCCTGCTCCCCGTGCTCCCCCCTCCTGCTCCTCCTCCTCTGGGGATTGAGGATCGAGCTGCTTGGGCATTTTCTATCTTTCTTAAGCTTCCTCCGGGGTCTCCTCTGGGTCCTTCGGAGACCTCGGGAGACCTCTTTGACCTCCCAAGACCTCCTCCTCCCCCTCCTCATCCTCCCCTCCGCCTCCTCCGTCTCCTCCTCCTCATCCTCATCCTCTACCTCCTCCTCCCAATGAAACAGCTGACGATCTGAAACATCTTCAGACGACCCTCGTCCCCTGATCAACGAAGCTAGGCTTTTACACAATCTGGACATCTGGACCCTTTTTACGGTCCTGGGCCCAGGCAAACCCTGGCCCCTCTGGGGATACGTGTTGGCCAGTGAGGTGAGTGCAGCCGTGGCGACGACAGAAAAGACCAAGCACACACATACACACACACACACACACACACACACACACACGCACGCACGCACGCACGCACGCACGCACGCACGCACGCACGCACGCACGCACACACACACACACACACACACACACACAGACACACACACACACTACACACACAACAACCCACACTCACACAACGCACGCACTCACACGCACACGCAGACACACACACACACACACACACACACACACACACACACACACACACACACACACACACTTTTTGCGTCGGCGGCTGGGCAGAGGTTACTGCTCCTGCGATCGGGCATCCACACAGACACACACACACACACACACTTTTGATGGTCGCGGCCTCGCGCGCAGCGTCGAGGCGAGAAACACATTGATCGGAAGAGCGAGCGGCCTTGCCCTCAGAAGGATCCCGCGAGATCCGCGTACACCATCAGCACCAAACCATCCGGGCATGGATGGCGAGGAGGGGACGCACCGCTCCGGCGCTGTGCTGCCCAGCGGGAACCCAGACCCCCGACGTCATGATTTTTCATCATGTCAACTCTGAGAGGTCTCGACCTATTCCCCGGGACCGACTTTTCATCCTGAATCGTTCATTGACGGTCCTGAGGCCCGGTGAGGGCCTCCAGAGGCCGAAAATGTGGCAAAACCGCTCGTCATGATTTGTCCATTGCCCGAGGGAGTCTAGGAACACACAAGCACACACACACACACAAACACAAACACACATACCAAAACGAATAACTCAAACCTCCCGGCAGCTCCTGGCCGAGCGAAGCTAGCAGTGGGCGCAAGCGCGCTCCGTGGTAGGCTTAAGTCGGGCCTGTCCCCCTACGGGGGGATTTTGGACAAAAAACAAAAACAAATAATGAACAAATGCCCCAAAATGGCCCCAAATAAACCCAAAAATCCGTGCCCTGACGATTTTTCTACCATTTCTGAATACTCCTCCTGTAGAGGGACAGGCCCGACTCAATGGTAGGCCCCAGAAAACACCCGAGAAGCTCGGCCTTCAGACCTCGATGTCCTCCTCTTTGGACGCCCGAGATGGGTACGGAAAAAATCGGCACAATGCCCAAAGACAAATGTTGTCCCAAACCAACAGCGGCCGCTGTTGGGCAGACGGCCTTCTGTCTCGAATGGACACAGGCCGCGGCGGCGCGGACAGCGAGTCCTGCTCAAGATGAACAGGACATGCTGTTGGGCATCGTACCCACTCTTCCCGTGCCCATCTCGCTCGTGCAGGATCCTCCTTCCTCCTGGCAGCTCTCGGCTGAGCCGGTGGCGTACCACTCGAAGCCAGGGGCCCGCGACACCGGCGCCGCGGCCATCTCGGACGCTGCCACCTCGGCGGGGGGACCCAGCGGCCGGTCATCGCCCAGGGGTGCGACGGCAGCGGGGATCGAGGATCGGGCGCACGCTGACATGGACTGCGGATCCGTGGATCTTTCGCGTGGGCGCCAGATCCACGGATCGGGGAAAGCAGCCCTCGAAACCTCAGGACCATGTCACCTGACACTTGGCGAGGGAGCGCGCGGATCCTGTGGAAATGGGACCCGTCACTAATCCACGCGCCTATCTCAGACCCCCGACATCCTGATTTTTTCATGTGGTGACCCCCAGAGGTAGGTCTGGACTCCTTCCCCCCGGGGACCAGCTCTTCATCTTGAGTCGTTGCTTGAAGATCCCACGGGCCGGTAAGAGCGCCCAAACCGAAACGAACGAAAAACCTCTCGTCGGGTTTGTTTCATGACCCGAGGGGGTATGGGATGACTGCGTTCCCTGGAGAGGGTGGCCAAGGCTTTGGGGGTGCGGCCGTCACGGAGCCCGAGCCTGGCCTCACACTCCGCCGGACCGCAGCTGCCACAGGTGGGCTGCCTCGCGCGGGCGCCTTTCGAGCTCCGAGGCCCTCAGGGAATTCCATGAGGTCTCGAGCCCAGTGCTTCTATGATTATGCACACATACATGCACGCATACATGCATGCATGCATGCAGGCATGCATGCATGCATACATACATACATACATGCAGGCATACATACATACATACATACATACATACATTCATACATACATACATACATACATACACACATACATACATACATGCATGCATGCATACATACATACATACACACACATACACACACACATGCATGCATGCATGCATGCATGCATGCATGCATACATACATACATACATACATACATACATACATACATACATACATACATACATACATACATACATCCACCCACCCACCCACCCACCCATCCATCCACCCACCCACCCACCCACCCACCCACCCATACCTAACAACCTACCTACCTACCTACCTACATGCATGCATGCATACATACATACATGCACGCATACGTAGTTGAATACGTGTTTGCACATACATGCATATGTACATGAATACGTACATGCATACATATACACATACACTCATACCAGCCTACATGTCGGCATACATACATGCATACATATATGCATATATGCAGACCTACAAACATACGTGCGTGCATGCACACATGCAACGTCACATACGTACTTACATGCATACAGACATACGCGCATTCATACGTACAGTCATGCATGCATACCTGCATGCAAGTTACGTACATACATGCATCCAGATATACATGCATACATACATGCACACATGCATGCATGCACACATACGTGCATACACACATATGTGTTCATACACGTGGTGTGTACATAGAGATATAAATATATAAATATATGTCTATATTCACGGTAACGCCCGTGACCGGCCCCGCCGCCCCTCCCCTGGTCACATCACGACTCGCGCCAACGCCGTGTAACAGATGAGCCATTCTCACAAGCATTCCCAGGCGGCGCCGGCGTGACTCGCGACGTGACCGGCCCCCTCCCCCGCTCCTCAAGCTGTCACGCCCGTTACAATGGAGGCCAGCCCACAGGAAACCTTCCACATGAAACCCCACCCTGAGACCCCAGGCCGTCCACTGAGTTGTGGTGTGGGGACGTCACGCTTTCCATAACCAAACCATCGAGCCCCGAGAAACCCAGGGCCCCCTGGAGGCAAGCAGGGCGATCCTCGGCATGGGTCTCCACTGCATCTCCAGGGGATCCCTCCTCGAACTCTGGCCTCCAGGCCTCCAGCGAGTCTGAGCCACCTCCCCCGGCCCCTGGGCCGCAAAGAGGCCCAGGATGGTGCCGTGCAGCCGAGGGAAGCTCAAGGGCTTCTCTGCCTTCCGCCACGGTGCTGGCCCCTGCCTGCTCGCAAACCGGGTGCGCGAGAAGGGCGAGCACGGTGGAGTGGCGATGACCACGCCACAGGCTCCCCCACAGACCCCTTCGCGCTGCAAGAAGAGGCCATGGGAGGCTCTTGCAGTGCTCGGGCCTCGGGAGGCGCTGGCCGGGCCGCAGGACGCTCACCAAAAGGACCCGGCACGAGGCAGAGCTCCCGGGGAAGTGGGAGTTGTGTCTGCCGGCGTTTGGTCCTGTGGCCATGGGGAGGGACGGGCAGAGAGGGCGGATGGGCAGAGGAGGGGGGTGGAGGGAGGGACGGACGTAGCGCTACTGACACGGGGGGCCGCACGCGCGGGGGGTGGCGGGCCGCTAGAAAGGCACGCCGAGGTCGGGGGTGCGCGCGGCGCCCCGGAGGCAGGAGGCAGGGGGGAAGGGGGGGAAGGGGAGAGGGAGAGGAGGAGGAGGAGGAGGAGGAGGATGACGAGGAGGGAGAGGAGGAGGAGGAAGGAGGTAAGGAGGAAGGAGGAAGGAGGGAGGAAGCAGGAGGGGAGGGAGGGATTCTGGGATGCTCCAGGTTGGCCGCGCGCGCCCGCGCAGGGGCACGAAGCCCCGTGAAGCGGGAGGGAGGGAGGGAGGGGAGACTCGAGGAGCAGATACCGGCATAAAGAAAAGGCTTTGCCTCTCCTCTCCTCCTGCTCCTCCTGCTCCTCCTCCTCCTCCTCCTCCTCCTCCGCCTCCTCCTCCTCCTCCTCGCTCCTCCTCCTCGCTCCTCCTCCTCCTCCTCCTCCTCCTCCTCCTCCTCCTCCTCCTGAGCAGATACCGGCATAAAGAAAAGGCTTTTGAGGGGCAACGGAGGGGAGACATCGACCTGGAATCGGCGATACATCGCCGATGGATCGGCGCTAGGCCCCCGATAGAGGATCAGCACGTTCTGGGCGGGGTGGGGCTATTGGGCCCCTATCGGCGATCAATGAGCGATTGGGGGTCGATGCATCCCCCCATTGCCTATCCCCCCCTATCGTTGCCCCCGAAGGCTTTCCCAGACCCGAGGGCAATGGAAAAATCGCGGCGAGAGGTTTTCCCATATGTTCTTCCCCTGGGGGCCTCGGGACCGTCAAACAACGACTCGGGATGAGAAACCGGTCCCGGGGAATGGGTCGAGACCTCTGAGCATCGACGTTCCCAAGAAATCATGACGTCGGGGGTCTGGGACCGGCGTCGATCCAAGCAGTCAGCGCGGACAACCGAAAGCCTACATGGTTATGCCACTACTTGTAGATCGGGCATTTCCTCCTACAGGCGGATTCTTGCAAACTAAAAAAGAATCAAAAATAGCAAAAAATCCGCCGACCCTGTCGGCGTGTGTGAGACGCTTTCGTCCCGGTCGTCGCCACCATCCTCCTCCAGCCATCCAAACCCAGCCAATACGAAACCGAACCACGTCGTCATAGAGGAGAAGGCGAAGCCCTTCTCTTTGATCCCTTCCCAGGGCGGGTGGGGGTCCCGGGGGGGGGTCTCGGGGGGTGGTCCCGGGGGATTGTCCCGGGGGTTGGTCCCGGGGGGTGGTCCCGGGGGGTGGTCCCGGGGGGGTGTCCCGGGGGCAATGTGATTGATTCTCCTTTCTAAAAGACTAATAGATTCTACCCCCCCTTCCCCCCGGACTTATCGGGTCCCCCGCGCGTGCTGTAAATCACATATGATTATGACCACATGTCTATCCTAAATATGAATTCATACCATCCCAGCCAAGCCGGGTTCCCCCCCCTGCGGTTCCCTGTCAAATAACACTATGCGGGAACATTTTTGTTTCTAACATAACACTTTTTCGCGAATCCCTTGCAAAAAACGGGACGAAGTGCACATGCGCGCGTCGTCGCGCGCGCATGCCGAAATCCTTCAAAAACCTTCTGTGCCGGAAGGATTTCGCAATCGAGCTTCCGAAAGACATACAAAAACACATGGTTTCACAACACTGGTTTGCTAAAAAAACTTCCGCGCGAGCTCTTGCGAAATCTTAAGAAAACCATAAGTTTTTTTCAAGATTTTCACAAAATGCTACCAAACGGGCTTCGCGCGCGCGCATGTCGAAATCTGTCGAACGCCCTTGCGCGTGTGCCGTCGCGAGAATCCTCTGCAAAAAATGGGACGAAGTGCAGACGCGCGCGTCGTCGCGGACGTATGCCGAAAACCTTCAAAACCCATCGGTTTCGGAAGGATTTCAAAATCGTGCGTCCAAAAAACCTACAAGAACCCAAGGTTTCGCAACACGGATTTTCAACAAAAGCGTGCGCGCGCGCGCTCTTGCGTCGTCGTCGTCGTCGTCGCCGTCCTCCCTCCTCCCGTCGTCGTCGTCGTCGTCGCCTACGTCGTCCTCTGTCTTTTCTCCTGTTTGTCGTCGTCGTCCTCTTTGGCGTCGTGGTCGTTTCCATCGTCGTTGTCGCCGTGGTCGTCCTTCCTCCTCCTCCCACGTCGTCGTCGTCGTCCGTCGTCGGCGTCTCATCGTCGTCCCTCCTATGTCGTCGCCGTCGTCGTCGTCGTTGTCGTCGTCGTCTTCCCTCCTCCCTCGTCGTTGTCGTCGTCGGCGTCGCCGTCCTTCCTCCTTCGTCGTCGTTCGCGTCGTCACCGTCCTCCCTCCTCCTTCGTCGTTGTCGTCGTTGTCGCCGTCGTCGTCCTTCCTCCTTCCTCGTCGTCGCCTTCGTTGGCGTCGTCGTCGTCGTCTTCGTCGTCGTCGGCGTCGGCGTCGTTGTCGTCGTCGAAGTCGTCGGAGACGTCGTCGGTGTCGCCGTAGTCGTTGTCGTCGGTGTCGTCGTAGTCGGTCTTAAGTGGTTTTGCAAATCAAGTTGCGGGTGGGTGGGTGGGATGTTTGCGCGAGCAGTGGAGAAGACAACTTCAAGTTCAGCAATTGTTTTCCTTACTAGATTCCCCACTCCACCACCTCCCACTCCTCCTCCTCCTCCTCCTCCTCCTCCTCCTCCTCCTCCTCCTCCTCTATCCTCCTCCTCCTCCTCCTCCTCCTCCTCCTCGTCCTCACTCCCCTCCTCCTCCTCCTCCTTCCCTCCTCCTCCCGCCCCCTAAGTCCCTCTTCCTCCATCCTCCTCCTCCATCCTCTACTCCTCCCTCCTCCTCCTCCTCCCTCATACCTCCTCCTGCTCGCCCCCCTACTGGCGCCCCCTCCTCCTCCCGCCCCCATCCTCCCCCTCCCCCTCCCCCTCCCCCTCCCCCCTCCCCTCCCCCTCCCCGCCCCCTCCCCCTCACCCCTCCCCCTCCTACCCTCCTCCATCCTACAATTTACTCAATATGAATATTACTCTCCCTCTTCCCCTGATGGCGTGCTGGGAGTAGTAGACCCCCCCCGCGTACTGTTTTTTACACACGGGATTCCCGGGAAATGGGTTTTCGCTTGCATCTTTTTTTCCAAATGCTGCTCTCGCTGGGGCGCCAGCCTCATTTTCGGGCCCCGCTCGTTCCGAATCGTGCTCCCACTGCCGCGCTGGCCTAATTTCCGTGCTTCCGCTCGTTCCGAATCGTGCTCCCGCTGCAGCGCTGGCCTCATTTCCGCGCTTCCGCTCGTTTCGACTCGTGCTCCCGCTGCAGCGCTGGCGTCATTTCCCGTGCCATGCCACGGCATGCAATGCAATGCTAGGTTGATACTACGCTTTGCGGTGCTCTTCTACGCCATGCCATGCCGTGCTCTACAATGCATCGCGTACCCTTTCGCGATCATTGCCCTGCTCGACATCCGACTGTGCGAGTAGAGAGGGGATCTACGCCATGGTAAGGGATGGGAGGGAGGGGTAGGATGTCAGATATGACGCGAGCGCACCTAGCTTGTCTGTCCCCTCGACCCCTCCCCCTCCCCCTCTCATCCTCCTCCTCCTCCTCCTCCATCCTCCCCATCCGCCTCCTCCCCTCCTCCTCCTCCTCCTCCCCCGCCTCCTCTTCCTCCTGCTTCGCATCCTCCTCCTCCTCCTCCTCCTCCTCCCTCCTCTCCCCTCCTCCTCCCCCTCCTCCACCTACTCTTCCTCCTCCCCTCCTGGTCCCTCGCTCCTCCTCCTCCTCCTCCTCCTCCTCCTCCTCCTCCTCCTCCTCGTCTTCCTCCTCCGCCACGTCTTCCTGTACCTCCGACCTCTTATCATGCATCCCGTCACCCTCGAGGGCCGAGGCATCCAGGGTCGGCGGCACCGGACGTAAGGCCTTAGCAATAGTTCAAAACAAATCGTCCCCATACTATGTTATGACTATTTGTGAATTTGTCTCCTGTAGAGAGACATGCCCGACTTCACACACCGTGCTCCTCGAGGGAAGGAGGGGGAGGGGAGCGGAGAGAGGCAGAGGCTAGACAAGCGCGCTCCACCACTCACAAGAAGCAACTGCTCGCACATGGCCGGGACCCGCTGAGGTGATTACGATATATCTAAAGTTACATTTACATTTATAGTGAGGTTCTACATCTATCTATATATTGTGTATACATACTGCATGGGGCAAGCCTATGTCTTTCGGACGTTTGCGAGCAGGCACTCTGCGAGTGGTGGAGACCCACTCGGTGGAAAGGCGAGCACGTGGACGCAGGTTGCACGGAGGCAGCGCAGAGGAGGTCGCCTGTGGGCGTCTACGGGGTGGGCCGGGCGCCTCCACGTGCGCGTGCGAGTTGGACAAGTTGCCGCCGTGCTGCATGTGGAGCGCCTCTGCCCCAGACGCCCGCGCCCGCTCGCCCCATCGCTCGCGAGACATCCTCCCCCCCGGCGCGCCCTTCGGCGCGGCGGGCGGCCGGGGGGGGGGGGGGGGGCGGAGGGGAAGAGGCCGCGCCCGGACGGCGCATCGGCAGCCGCACGGCACGGTGCACAGAGGGGCCCATCGTGGGGCGAGAAGCAGCCCAGGCGGGATGCACCCGCGCGGGAGCGCGCAGGACCGCGCGGGGGGGGGGCAGGGGGGGGGGAGGGCGTGGACTTCCTTCCCTGGCTCCCCGAGGGCTCGACCCGATGCTGTCCCACGCCCGCGGGGGGATGCCGGGCCCCCGAGAGCGGTGGCCCAGAATCGTGGCCCCGACCGTGGCCCCCCCCATCGCACCATGCGGAAAGGTGTGCAGGGCAGCTTCTGCCGCACTGCGCCTCTCCCAGAGGAACAAAAAACAATCTATACATATATATATATACATATATAGATATTATCCTAACAGCTCTTCCACGGCTCTCCACGCTCCCTCCCCTCGCCCCGCGCATGCCCGCGCTCGAGGGGCGCCCCGGAAAGGGCGGCAACGCCGGGCCAAGGCGATGTTCCGAGAGAAGACGATGGGGGGGGGGCTCCCAGACTTCCTGGGATCCATGGGCTTCCCCACCCCTCACTAACACGTGTTCTCAAAAATTCCATGGGCCAAGATTTAAGGCGAAGCGGAGCGAGCCTTCAAAATCTTGTGTATATATCTCTATATCTATATATATGTATATATGTATGACTTCTTTGAGGTCCGCATGAATCCAGGATGTCCTCTGGGCCACATTGGTCTAGAGATATCGCTCTTTCTTCTTCCGAGCACCTGTTCCTTTCAGGGAAGTCTACCTCCCCCCTCCCTGAGTTTCGTGGGGCGGGGCGCGAAGTGTCAAGGCGCCCAAGATGGCCCAAGATGGCCTCGGTGAGAAGGCCAAAGCAGCTTATGCAATTAAAGTAAAGTGTGCACCCATGTATGCGATTATTATGTCCCAGGGGGGGAGGCAAATTTCAGACCCCCCCTTTTGATCGATGGCCTCCAAGATGGCTCCAAGCGGCCCACCAGGGCTCCCAAGGGACCCCCAAAAAAAGAGCCCCAAGATGGCTCCAAGAAGGCATCCGATGCTCCAAGATGGCATCCAAGATGGCTCAAGATAGCCGACGATGGCTTGCAATAGCTTCTGGCACACCTCCAAAAGGCCCGACGAGGGCCACTAGACGGTTTCGAGTGCTCTCGGAGCCCCATCATGACCCCCCCAAGACGCCCAAATCAGTCAAAACTCAAAGGAAATCAATGAGTTATGACTTCTCGCCTGCTCGTTTCCTATGCGCTTTGGAGGCCTCAGGATGGCCCCAAGACAGGCCCAAGACGGGCCCAAGAGCTGAGCGGCCCAAGAGGGCCCCAAGAGGCGATTGTAATAGCCCCAGGGGGGAGACCAAACGTTACGACCCCCTCTATTTGACCGACGCCCTCCACGATAGCCCTAAGATGCCCCCAACAGAGCCTCAAGAAGACCCCATGATTGCAATATCCCCAAAGAGAATCTCAAGAGAGCTCCAAGAGGCGATTTTGAAGGCTCTGTCCTCGTCCTCGCGGTCCTCCTCCACCTGCTCCTCCTCCTCTTCCTCCTCCTCTTCCTCCTCCTCCTCCTCCTCCTCCTCCTCCTCCTCCTCCTCCTCCTCCTCCTCCTCCTCCTCCTCCTCCTCCTCCTCCTCACCTCTCTGTTCGCCCTGGTTGCCCGCTCTGTTTCACTACATGTGTCTCTTCGTCTCTTCTCCCGAACTCTCACGGGAAGGGTCTCCGAACAGGCTGGTGGAGCGAAGCATTCCTTGCATCGGCGCTAGACCCCCAGAGCGCGCACGCGAAGGCGCCAGAGGCGGCGCCAGGGTGGCCCAGCGCCGATCCCACTAATCCACGCGGAGCTCCGACAATTTCTGTCTATGCCTGCCGTGTTCTCTTCTTCGACCTCTGCCCCTCTCGGAAACCATACACGAGCATTCCAGCCAGCGCACGCTGGACAATCCGGTAAGCCTCACAGCGCTTCCTCAGAGAGAGAGAGAGAGAGATCGCCGCCACTGCGCCCCTGTAGCGCTCGTCCCTCTGGATTCCCACCTTCCCTCTGCCAATGCGGAGACAGACCGTGCGGTGACCTCGGATCCCCAGAGACCTTCCCGCACTGTCCGTCGCCGCACAGTTTTGAAAAACCTTGGAGGCCCCGGTCGCCCGAGGCGCGCTTCGAGAACGACCCAAGTCCCAAATCCGTGCGGTCACCCTAGATCCTAGATCCCCACTGGCTCACCACACAGCGTGCTCCCCGCACTGTTTGGGGGCCCCCGAGGGAGCTGCCCTACAAGACTGCCGCCAGCCTGCCGTACGGCAGGTTCGTGGCGTGACGATTTCGGCGTGGATCGTCCGACCTTGAACAATCGGCGGCTTTCCGATCGTCCGATCGTTCAGCAATGGCCGATTATGTGCCACTGGCTGCGTTCAACCTTGAACGCCTGCGGCGGGGTCCCCGCCACGTCGACACGACACGGACCTGGAGCACACGCCTTCGCCTTCCGAGTGCCGCCCAGTCTTTGGGCGGCTAGGGCCCCAGGACGCGCGCGCAACTGGGAACAACTGCCCGACGCCGGGGGCACTCGGGAGGGGGTGGGGGGGCAGGCTACCACATCGGCCCTCGGGACCCGGCACTGAGCTGGACGGTGCGACGGGGCTTCAACCCTAGAACCTCCGACCATGTAGTTCTCGACGCAGTCTGGCCACCGCCTCCCAGATCGGGTCCGCGTAGACGGGGTTGGAAGGTCGCGCCGGCTCGCCAATGCGTCAGCGCAGTGGGCGCGGAGAAAATCTAGCCCCGCATCGAACCGCACCGCCGATGCGTCGGCGACGCGGCGCGATCCTTGGACCCCGTCTACGATCGGACCCTATCGGGGAAGGCTGGATCCCCGCACCCCCTTCTCGGTGCCTGATGGCGGCAGCCGCCGCCGTCCGTCGCCGCCGCCACCGCCGCCGCCTTCCCAGACATCCGACGATGTGACGCACGGCCCCAGATCGGGAAGACATAAAGACTCGGGTACGGGGGACTCGGGTTGGCCTGACGGGGCCATCGTGAAGATGACAAGACCCAGTCTGGAATTTGACGCGAGCTCCCGCTGCAAACATCCCACGAAAACTGGACCGTCAAACTCCAGGACGCGCTCGTCAAAAAACGCTGGCAAACCCGAGTTCTGGGTTGCTCGAGTTGTCCCCGACCAGAGGGCTCGACCCGCTCCCCCGGGCCAATGTTTCGCCCCAGGGCCGTGCGCGCCTGCGTCGCGGAAGGGCCGCCCGACGGCACGGGGGGGGGGGGCGCCTCAGCAGAAGGTGCGCCGCCTAGCTGCACTCGCGTGCTGCGCGGCGGCGGAGAAGGGGAAAGGGAACGAAAAGCAAGCAGACGGCGGCGAACGCACAGGCGGGAGGCCAGGGCCGACGGGACGAAGCAAGCGGGCGGGCAGGCGGGCAAGGGGCAGAGGGGACACAGCAAGCTGGGATCAAGGGCGGAAAAAGGCGAGGGAGAGCGGGTGACGACGAGGAAGAGGGGGAGGAGCAACCGTGAGCAGACGGGCCGGAAAAGGGGCCGAGAGAGAAGAGCCACCCTTGACGAGGCCACGGACACTACGGCGGCGACACCGACCGGGCGACGGGAGCAGAAGAAACGCGGGAGTTTGTGGCGGATGTCGGGCTCGTTGTGGGGGGGTCGTCGTGGGGGGTCGTCGTGGGGGGGTCGTCGTGGGAACTCGTCGGTCGGGAAGGGCGTCGGCAAGGGAGTCGGGAAGGCAGCGGGCGCCCGACCGAGCCCAGCACGCTGCGGCTTGGTGGGAGCTGCCCTCTGCGGGGGCCACCCGCCGCCCCGCCGATCAGAGGGCGGCCAGCGCGCGCGAGGAGCCACCACCGTGGGGCCCGCGGAAGGGCGCGGAGGGCGCCCGTGCTGCACAGCCAGGGCGGGGGGGGGGGGGGGGGGGGGGGGGGGCGGGGAGGAGGAGGAGGGGAGGAGGAGGAGGGGAGGAGGGGGAGGGGGAGGAGGAGGAGGGGGAGGAGGGGAGGAGGAGGAGGAGGAGGAGGAGAGGAGGAGGAGGAGGAGGAGAAGGAGGAGGAGGAGGAGGAGGAGGAGGGGAGGAGGGGGAGGAGGGGGAGGAGGCGCGCGGGGAGCAGTAAGCAACGCCGGGGGGCGCCCCACGCGGCGTCCGCCGCGGAAACACCCGCGGCCACGCACAGGCGGGCCGCGGCCAGCCCGGCGCCGCAGCATCGCCCGCGCTGTCTCCTCCCTGTTGAGTGAGACAGGCAGTCGCGGGGCTCCTCGGTCTGCAAGCAGTGTGGCTTCGTCCCCCATGGCGTCGTCAGCCACCTGCTTGTTTAGCCAGGACCGCGAAGGCCATGCGTGCCTCGCGGCCCCACGCGCCGCCGTGGGATTCCACCGCCATAGGGAGGAAGGGGGAGCCCTGCTCCGCTCACAGCCGCAAGGTGCTGCCTGTTGAACTCCTCGTCCTCGTGCCTCTCCGTCGCCGCTCTCGGCGAAGCGGCTGGCGCGAGCCATACGTGGCGCCAAAATCACAAGCAGCCACCATTCCGTTATACCACCACGACAAGTAAACGTCGGCGGGGCTGCGGCCATTGCCGTCCACGTGGGACTCGCCATGATCGTCCCAAGATGTGGCCTCCCCGGCGGGGCGCGTTGGTAGCAACCCCCAGCCCTCCAACTCCGCCCTGGCATGGCCAGCGGCCAGGGCGTCAAAGAAGGCCAGAACCCAGGTCAATGTGTGATGGCCCCTGAGGCCCGAAAACTGCGCAGCGAAATCTGATAACAAAAACAAATATCCCGGCAAAGCAACCTAACAGCGATGTGTAGGAGCATATCTGGAAGCATTCTCCTTAAGATTCAGATGAGAATCCAGTTGTAGAATTCTGCTGTTCTCGCAGTCGTAGTCGCATTCGTGATGACAGTCGCAGTGGCAATGGCAGTCGCAGTCACAGCCTCAGCCTCAGCCTGCCTCAGCCTCAGCCTCAGCCTCAGCCTCAGCCTGCCTCAGCCTCAGCCTCAGCCTGCTTCAGCCTCAGCATCAGTCTGCCTTCAGCCTCAGCCTCAGCCTGCCTCAGCCTCCTCAGCCTCAGCCTGCATCAGCATCAGCCTGCCTCAGCCTCAGCCTCAGCTCAGCCTGCCTCAGCCTCAGCATCAGTCCTCAGCCTCAGCATCTGCCTACAGCCTCAGCCTCAGCCTGCCTCAGCCTCGGCCTCAGCCTCAGCCTGTCACAGCCTCAGCCTCAGCCTCAGCCTCAGCCTCAGCCTCAGCCTCACCCTGCATCAGCCTCAGCCTCGCCTCAGCCTGCCTCAGCATCAGCTGCCTCCTCAGCCTCAGCCTCAGCCTCAGCCTCAGCCTCAGCCTCAGCTCATCAGCCTGCCTCCTCAGCCTCAGCCTCAGCCTGCCTCAGCCTCAGCCTGCCTCAGCCTCAGCCTCAGCCTGCTTCAGCCTCAGCCTCAGTCTGCCTTCAGCCTCGCCTCAGCCTCAGCCTCAGCCTGCCTCAGCCTCAGCCTGCATCAGCCTCAGCCTCAGCCTCAGCCTGCCTCAGCATCAGCCTGCCTCAGCCTCGGCCTCAGCCTGCCTCAGCCTCAGCCTCAGCCTGCTTCAGCCTCAGCCTCAGTCTGCCTTCAGCCTCGGCCTCAGCCTCAGCCTGCCTCAGCCTCAGCCTGCATCAGCCTCAGCCTCAGCCTCAGCCTGCCTCAGCCTCAGCCTGCCTCAGCCTCAGCCTCAGCCTGCCTAGCCTCAGCCTCAGCCTGCTTCAGCCTCAGCCTCAGTCTGCCTTCAGCCTCGGCCTCAGCCTCAGCCTGCCTCAGCCTCAGCCTGCATCAGCCTCAGCCTCAGCCTCAGCCTGCCTCAGCATCAGCCTGCCTCATTCTCAGCCTCAGCCTGCCTCAGCCTCAGCCTCAGCCTGCTTCAGCCTCAGCCTCAGTCTGCCTTCACCCTCGGCCTCAGCCTCAGCCTGCCTCAGCCTCAGCCTGCCTCAGCCTCAGCACCAGCCTGCCTCAGCATTCAAAATGGACCCGGGAATGGAGTTCTGGGAACACGAAGTACACGAAGTGGCCTACAGTTGGCTCTGGGCATTCAAAGTGTGGCCCCGGAATGGAGTTCTGGGAACTCGAAGAGCACGAAGTGGCCTACAATTGGCTCCGGGCATTCAAAATGTGGCCCCGGAATGGAGTTCTGGGAACTCGAAGACCACGAAGTGACCTACAATTGGCTCCGGGCATTCAAAATGTGGCCCCAGAATGGAGTTCTGGGAACTCGAAGACCACGAAGTGTGTAACTGTTTGCCCAAAACGACTTCCGCGGATCCCTGTCCGGATGCCGCCCAGACCCCCCTGGGGAGTCAGTCAGTAGAAACATATCAGTCTTCGCTGTTACGTAAAAAACTCCGGGACTGAACAAAAACCAGCTGTCGGATATCAGGGTTTGTCGCCGCCGACGCCGCCGGCTGTCGCCGCCTGCCGCCCGCGGTCCGCCGCCAGTGACGGCCAGTGGGTCGCCCCCGTCCGTCGTCGCCACTACCGCCGCCGCCATTGTCGCCAGCGACCGGGGGCTACAAAAAGATGCCGATGCCGCTATACTCCACGGCCCTCTCTTGGGGGCGCGCTCTGACCAGGACTCCGAGGTGAATCCAGCCGTGGAGACGAGGGAAGGGTAGCGGTATCGGTACCGGTTCCTTGTCGCCGCTTCTCCTCCTCCTGATCCTCCTCCTGATCCTCCTCCTCCTCCTCCTCCTCCTCCTCCTCCTCCTCCTGCTGCTCCTCTTCCTCCTCCTCCTCCTCCTCCTCCTCCTCCTCCTCCTCCTCCTCCTCCTCCTCCGCCTCCTCCTCCTCCTCCTCCTCCTCGCTCCTCCTCCTCGCTCCTCCTCCCCCTGCCTCTCCCGCTCGCCGACCGCCTCCCGCGTCGCCGCCGACGCCGCCAACCGCCGCCGCCCGCTGGCCACCGTCCGCCGCTGTCCGCCGCCGTCTTGCCAGGCAGCGGCGCGCGGCCGCCTGTCGTCGTCGCCTGTGGCGCCGCCGCCGCGCCAGCACCAGCGCAGCCGCCGCCTCCGTCGCCACTGTCCGCCGCTGGTCGTCGGTGCCGGGCGGCGGCCGCGCCAGCACCGTCGCCGCCGCCGCCTTCGTCACCGCCGAGGCCGCCGCCGCCGCCGCTCTCTGTCGGTGCCGGGCGGCGGGGCGCCAGCCCCACGTCGTCGCGGGTGAGCGCCACCCCGCGCCCACCGCCGCGCAGCTGGAGGCCTCCACGGGGGGGCGGGCGCCGTGAGGCCGCCCCCCCCCATGAGCTTCGCCGCTCTCTGTGCCCATTGGCGTTCGTTGCCTGGGCCCACCTGGCCGAGTTGGGCACCCGGGTTGGAATGTGTGCCTGCTGCTTCGGGCTTCGCGGGGCCTATCCCCAAACTAGGAGGTGGGCTGGAAGAAACGGAGATGCGTGGGCCCAGCGGTAATGGGGATATGTTGGACGGTGCTAGCCCCCTGCGCCGCGCCGGCCTCAGTCCTGGACCCCAAGGGTGAGGGTTCGAAGATCGTGGGCCCCAGACCTCCAACGTCTTGGGAGCAGCACAACGCACAAGTTGTCCGCGGCCTTCGGCCTCCAGGGGTCCTCGCCGGGCCACGGGACCGCCTAACAACTCCTCGGGATGAGCAGCCAGCCCTATTATGGAAAGGGTCGGGACGTCTGTCGGGGGCGGCAAAGAGGGGGGCGTCAAAGAGGGGGAGGCGCAAATCATGGCCGGCGGCATGTGCGCGGCCCAGGTTGGGGGCCAGGGACGTATTGAAATGAGAAGAGGCGCCATTAAATCTGGGGAATTATCATGGCCCACGCCATGATATCCCCCCCCCTAGTCATCACCCCCCTCTTTGACGCCCCCGAGTCTGGGGAACCCAAGACGCCTGGGGACCAGGACGTGAACAGCGTGTCGCGCCGAAGCACGGTGGGCCAAAACACGCGGCGAGGCACGCAGAGCTGAAATTCCAGACTGTACCCCCCAGAAGGTTCGTATCGTGGCGACTTCCGGTGGCGTTCAGGCCCGCGGTGCGGTCGCCGCGGGCTCGGCACGGCACGGACCTACCGTACCACCCACCCATCCAGGCAGGATCGATGGGCATCGGATCGGGAAGTCCAATCTGGTCCAGAGGTGCGTCAGAGAGTGGCCGATTCGGCACAGAGGGGGAATCGAATCGCATCGGCCGCGCTGGGACGCACAACTCCGCTATGCAAACATCGGGGCGCATCGGATCGCCAGAATATCGGATCGGAGTGATCGGGCCCTGCCAGCCCCAGACCCCCGACGTCGCGATTTACCCTGACAAAAATCTCGACCCATTCCCCGGAATCGGTTTTTCATTCTGACTCGTCTTTGACGGTCCCGAGGCAGCTTTGAGAACAGATGCCAGTATGACGTCCGAGCCTGCAGCCCTTCCTTCCCTTAACTGTGCACGTGCCTGGAGAAGGAGCCCCATGTCGATCGGGCAGCGTCGGTTATGATTTCGACAAAGACTGCGCAACTCTCCAAGACAACTTTCAGCCTCCTCCCGATGGCGAACACTCGAATATCGATCCAAACCCGGTGAGGGTCTCGAGGCCGAAAACACGGAAATACCTCCTGTCATAATTACCTAACAGCTCTTGCTGATTGGTTTCTAGTGGGTTCAAAAGAGAGCATCTTGACGCCCCAGGGGGGTCTGGGCGGGACCCGGACAGGGGATCCGGCAGGATCCGACAGCCCCAGGAATCCTTATGACTCCTTAGGAATTCTTAAGCATCCTTAGGAATCCATTCCCAGAACACCATTCCAAGGCCACATTTTGAATGCTGGGAGCCAACTGTAGGCCACTTCGTGTTCTTCGTGTTCCCAGAACACAATTCCCAGGCCACATTTTGAATGCCCGGAGCCAACTGTAGGCCACTTCGTGTCCTTCGTCTTCCCAGAACACCATTCCCAGACCACATTAAGAATGCCCGGAGTCAACTTTAAGCCACTTCGTGTTCTTCGTGTACCCAGAACACAATTCCCAGGCCACATTTTGACTGCCGGGAGCCAACTGTAGGCCACTTCGTGCTCTTCGAGCTCCTAGAACGCAATTTCCAGGCCACATTTTGAATGCCGGGAGCCAACTGTAGGCCACTTCGTGTTCTTCTTGTTCCCGGAACACCATTCCTGAGGCAGGCTGAGGCTGAGGCAGGCTGAGGCTGAGAGGCTGACGCTGAGGCTGAGGCAGGCTGAGGCTGAGGCAGGCTGATGCAGGCTGACGCTGAGGCCCAGGCCGAGGCAAGCCGAGGCAGGTTGAGGCTGAGGCTGAGGCTGATGCTGAGGCAGGCTGAGGCTGAGACAGGCTGAGGCTGAGGCTGAGGCAGGCTGACGCTGAGGCAGGCTGAGGCTGAGGCCGAGGCAGGCTCAGGAGACTGAGGCAGGCTGAGGCTGAGGCAGGCTGAGACTGAGGCTGAGGCAGCCTGAGGCTGAGGCTGAGGCTGATGCAGGCTGAGGCTGAGAGGCTGACGCTGAGGCTGAGGCAGGCTGAGGCTGAGGCTGAGGCTGAGGCAGGCTGAGGCTGAGGCTGAGGCAAGCCGAGGCAGGCTGAGGTTGAGGCTGAAGCTGAGGCAGGCTGAGGCTGAGGCTGAGGCAGTGGCTGAGGCTGAGGCAAGCTGCGGCTGAGGCTGGCTGAGGCTGAGCCTGATGCAGGCTGAGGCTGAGGCAGGCTGAGGCTGAGGCTGCGGCAGGCTGAGGCTGAGGCTGAGGCTGAGGCAGGCTGAGGCTGAGAGGTTGACGCTGAGGCTGAGGCAGGCTGAGGCTGAGGCCGAGGCAGGCTGAGGCTGAGGCTGAGGCAGGCCGAGACAGGCTGAAGCTGAGGCTAAAGCTGAGGCTGAGGCTGAGGCTGAGGCTGTGGCTGAGGCTGAGGCAAGCTGCGGCTGAGGCAGGCTGAGGCTGAGGCTGATGCAGGCTGAGGCTGAGGCAGGCTGAGGCTGAGGCAGGCTGAGGCTGAGGCTGAGGCTGATGGCTGAGGCTGAGGCAGGCTGAGGCTGAGGCTGAGGCAGGCTGAGGCTGAGGCAGGCTGAGGCTGAGGCCGAGGCAGGCGAATCCTTCGGAATCCTTAGGATTCCCTAGGAATCCTTAGGAATCCGTAGGAACCCCTAGGAATCAGGATTCCTAAGGAGTCCTAAGGTTTCCTCAGAATTCCTATGGATTCCTAAGGATGCCTAAGGATGCCTTAGCAATCCCTAGGAATCCTTAGGGTCCATTGGATCCTAAGGCCGTTGCCACTGCGACTGTCATTGCGAATGCGTCTGCGACTGCGAGAATAGCAGAATTCTACAAGTGGATTCTCACCTGAATCTTAAGGGGAATGCTTCCAGGTATGCTTATACACATCGCTGTTAGGTTGCTTTGCCGGGATAATTCGTTCATTGCCCGAGGGCTTTGACGGCCCCGGGGCCCGGTGAAGGCCTCCCGAGGCCGAAAACACAGAAACACCTCCCGTCGTGATTTTGTTCGCTGCCCGAGGGGGCCTGGGCAGCACGAGGGCACCCATTCGCAAGGCGGAGAGGGCAGCGAAGACCCCCCCCCACGGCAGCGGCCAGACCCCCTGTCAGGGAGGGCCCCTCCTCAACAGCACGAACAAGGGCTCCCAACTTCGCGCTTCGCGCTGCGCGCGAGCGCGAAGTGCGAATAACTTCGCGCTCTCGCGCCGCCTCCCAGGGGGGAAGAGGAGGAGGAGGAGGAGGAGGAGGAGGAGGAGGAGAAGAAATCGGAGCCGAACCGCGAAGCGCGAAGCGCGAGCAACTTCGCGCCCTCGACGGCGCCCTTGACGAAGACCCCCTCCTCACCTCCCCCGCCCCGCTGTCTCCCACCTCATGCCCAGAACCGCGGGTGCCGTGGCTCATCTGGCCCCGAGCTGGGCTCCCGCCAGCCAGCGCTTCAGACCGGCGCGCTCGGGCTGGAGGGCCACGGAACAGCATTTCTTGACCCTCGCTTTCCGCTCTGGCAGGGCTGAGGGTGAAGAGACTTGTTTCCGTCGGCAGCGAGGCGGGGCAATCCGCTCCGGCGTGGCAGCGACGCAGGGGCTCTACAGAGCGAATTGGCCGGCATGCAGGAGGGGGGAGGAGGACAGGCAGGGCGGCCGCGGGGAAAGGAGTGTGGAGAGACATCCAAAGACAGTATATTCGATTACTGCCTGCCCGTCTGGGAGGGCCTGGAGCCTCGGCGCCACGCCAGCGGGCGCCAGGGCGACGGTCGGCGGCCCTGGAAGAGGGCCAGGGTGGGCCCTTCCAAGAGACCAGAGGGCCTCTCGGAGGTCTCTCGGAGGGCATGGGCTGCTTCCCACCCAACCCCGTCGGGCAACGAGAAAACACGACAGGATGTTTTCCCTAATTTTCGGCCTCTGGAGGCCCTCACTGGGCCTCGGGACCGTCAAAAAACAACTCGGAATGAACAACTGGGACGCACAGAGACATACTAGTACTATATGTCCTCCTTGGAGGGGCGCGTCCGACACGAACATCGAGTGTACCCATCTTGTAGTATATCGTTTCCCGAGCGGTGTAGCCAGAAAGCACCCGCCACGACGCATACACGAACTATCAGATTTCTTGGTGCGCGCGTCGCCACTGGAGGGGCGACGCACATATAGCATCTGTGAACAAAATCACGACGTCGGGGGTCTCGACAGAGAGTCCCCCCCTCTGCCCTCGCAGCATCGGGGAGACGTGCGACGCGGGTCCGGGGGACTCGGGGTGGCCTGGCGGGGCCGCCAGGCGAATGACGAGGCCCGCTCTGACATCTGGCGCGAGCTCCCGCTGCAGGCATCCCACGACAACTGGGCCGTCAAAACTGGCGGCGCGCACAAGGGGGTAGGGGGAGAAAAAAAGGCTTCTTGGAAGGAGGCTGCTTCTCAGAAGGCGCCGGCCCTGCATCGACAGACAAGGCCCGCACATTCTAAGAAGCAGGGGTGATTCCAAGAAGCCTTCGCCGCTCCCCCTACCCCCCCCCTTCTCTGTGCGTGGCCGAAAACCCAGGGAGGACCCCTCAAAGAGGGTAGGCTTAAGTCGGGCGTGTCCCCCTACAGGGGGAGTTTCGATGGTCCAAAATTGTCAGAACATATTCTGAAAATAGCCCAAAAACAGATTATTCCCATTTTAGGCAGAGGAAGAAAACCCTAAGAAAAAAAACACTTAAGTAATTTTTCCAGTGTTAGGTGGTGTGCCATCCTAACATACAGCTCGCAAGTGCAAACACGCAAAGCCA